GTATATGAAATTTACAAGTGAAAAACACGTGGCGTTCATCACTATATACAACAGATTTGTCATCCATCTACCCGCAGAATCGGTACACACCGCGATATTAGTATCCACCGTCCCCGACTCCACCAAGTCTACAGTATATGGGCTTGCCATGTATGTAAAAACATATGTATATGCATATGATTACTCAAATAAAAAGAACATGCATCGCATCACTATATATAACAGGTCCAGCATCCACCTACCCGACGAAAGTGGTACAAACCGCGACATTCTATCCACCGCTCCAGCCGCCACCAAGCCTACAGTGTACGACTTCGCTGCTGTTAAGAGATTAGAGGCGCTCTCCATGATAACATCTGTCAGAATGAAGGCATTATCGGGCCAGTTCACGTTCTCTAGGGCATACAGCCGCCTGCTGTAAGTAGCAGCCCATTGTGCAACGACTGCACGGGGTTCTACCTGGGCCACACGTGGTAGTACATCTTCTCTGAGCCAACGAGTGAGTATTGCCGAGTTCAAGGTGTCGGGTATGGCATGCAGAATCTGAAGAGGCCAATTATTGTATCGCAATGAGCTTGTAAGGAAAGATGGGGCATACACGCTTTCTAGGCTCGTGTATACAAATGGTCGAGCCAAGGTGTAGCCTACGGCAGGAGGAATCTGCAGGAAAGATGGATCGATACACAATATGCTCCCATATACAGGTGCATAAGTGCACACATACACAATCTCTAGTATGTAGGTATGGCAGAGCTTATGTTCAGGACATGGCCTGCGGTATCTGGCAGAGAGGTTGCGCGTATCACAAAGAAAGGGCTTCAAGAACACGTGCGTGCATACATTTGTACTCCCTAAACCTGCGGGTACGGTCGAGCTCATGGTGTCTGGTTTGGTTCGCAGTAGCTAGAGGAGTGAGTGATAGCACTACAATATGACATTCCCAGTCTCCAGCTACTCAGCCAATTGGTCGGCAGTCAAGTGCCGTTTCCATGTCAATAACGCATCAAGGCAAACAGCGCAAGAACAGACAAACCATCCCCATAACATGTGACGAGCTATTACGCACTCCCATCTTGGAATAAACATCTACCTACACATAGACACATACATACATACATACATACATACATATATATATATATATATATAAACGCAGAAAGCACGCACACGCAAACACGCACACACACACACATATATATACATATATATCTATCTACCTACCTACTTACTTACCTACATACCTATATATATACACACACAAACACACATACACACACACACACACACACACACACACACACACACA